CTCGCATCAAGTTCAAGGCGTTGATGCTTGCTTACAGATCTACCACAGGCTCAGCTCCCTCCTTCTTCCACTTGCTCCTACGAGTCTACATCCCAACCAGAAGCCTATAATCGAACAATGAGCGACGGCTCGTGGTACCATCACAGAGAGCCTCAAAATCACTCTCCAGAACATTCTCACAGTTCCCTGCTGGTGGAATGATCTCCGCTCATCCGGAATGCAGAATCCCTGACAGCATTCAAAACACAACTGAAAACTCATCTCTTCCGTGAGCACTTAACCTCATAAAAAAAAATAAAAAATAACTCTTTCCTTTTCCCTTAATCCTCCCTTGTCTGGCTTATGCTACTCTGAGAAATGCCTGCACTTTGTATTTTGAGCACTTCTTGCGTTGTTTTTGCCTCTTCATGATGATTCGCTTTAATTTTGTCCTAATTTGTAAGTCGCTTTGGATAAAAGCGTCTGCTAAATGACTAAATGTAAATGTATCCCGGATACAGGCGGCCGAGATGAGCTTTCTCCACAGGGTGGCTGGGCGCTCCCTCAGAGATAGGGTGAGAAGCTCGGTCACTCGGGAGGAGCTCAGAGTAGAGCCGCTGCTCCTCCACATCGAGAGAGGCCAGCTGAGGTGGCTCGGGCATCTGTTCCGGACGCGTCCCACCGGGAGGAGATCCCTGGGAACACCTAGGACATGCTGGAACCTAGGACATGCTCCTCCATAGGCTTCTTAAGAAACTGGCCGGCCTAAAAGTTATGAAAGACATGGTTAAAATAGTCCGAGTGACTACAGTGCCTCAATCTTAAGTTTATCAAGCGATGAGAATACTTTTTGTGCGCAAAAAACAAACAAAAATAACGACTTTATTCAACTATTCATTTCCTTCTCCGTGGGCCTCGAGATTTCACGTAGTGAAACTACGCAAAGCTTCTAGGTTGTACGTCACGCATCACACACATGACCAGCGTCGGCCAATAGTGAGCCTGCGTGTGACGTGCAACACAGAAGCTTTGCGCAATATCACTACGTGAAATATCTCGAGGCCCACAGAGAAGGAAATGAATAGTTGAATAAAGTTGTTATTTTTGTTTGTTTTTTTGCGCACAAAAAGTATTCTAGTCGCTTGATAAACTTAAGGTTGAGCCACTGTAGTCACTCGGACTATTTTAACGATGTCTTTCATAACTTTTGGCCAGTTTCGATCCCTTAGAAGCCTATGGAGGAGTGATCCAGCTCTCAGATTTAATCACAAATATCTTAATTTGTGTTCTGAAGATGAACGAAAGTCGGTAACACTTTATAATAACTGCACGCTATTAATCATTAGTTAAGCATGAGTAAACAGTTAATTCATCATTTATAAAGCATTAATAGACATTAATAAGCAGTTTATAAATACAGCTATAAATGCTTTCTTCTTGATTTATAAGCATATCTATAATGCGTTTAATAATTGTATTTTCATACCTTGTTAATGATCAATTAATAATTTCTAAATGAAGTATAGCATTATTTACAAACAAGAGTTGTCAGTCATTCATAAGATCACTTAGAAAGTGTAAGTAAATGTAGTAAATACAGGTAGTTATAAAGCATTTAGTAGTGGTCAGTTAACTATTTTGTGAGCTAATCTAAAGTGAGGACTAGTCATGCCTTGTAAAACATTTATAAAGGAGATTTAACCCGAATTAACCCTGAATTACAGCATAAATACATGTTAATAAAGCATTTATTAACACACTAAGTAACCATCACTATATGTCTGAATAATAAGATGTATGAATGTACATTTAAATAGTTTATTAATCATTTACTTACACGTTCTAAGTAATCTTATGAACCACAGAAAACTCTTAAATAACTGGTTTATAAAAAATGCAATTATTCATTTAGAAATAATAAATTGATCATTAATAAAGGATGAAAATACAAGTATTAAATAAATTATAGATATGCTTGTAAATCAAGAAGAAAGCATTTATAGCTGTATTTATAAACTGCTTATTAATGTCTATTAATGCTTTATAAATGATGAATTAACTGTTTACTCATGCTTAACTAATGATTATTAGCGTGTAGTTATTATAAAGTGTTACCCGAAAGTCTTACGGGGTTGGAACAACATGAGGGAGAGTAATTACTGACAGAATTTTCATTTTGGGGTGAACTAACCCTTTAATATTAATTGATTTAAATTGTATCTATTTTTATTTAATTATGCATTGTAACCATTCATCTGTGAGACAAATCAGTTTTATACATCAAACTCATCAACAGGTGGTTTTTTAATGACTTTGTGAATTGAGTTTAATGAGTGTGATGAGTTAAAAAAAAATTATAATAAATATCTCTACTGTTTTTATACGTTCACGTTAATTCATTGTCATTTCCACAACACCCTGTCATTTCCATCACCACACACATTTTTTTAAAAATATATTTAAAAAGTTCTCATCACACATTAAAAATGTATCCACAATTTACGAGATCATGCTCTACTTAATATAAAAAGTTTAGTTATTTATTTTCTAATAAGCTCTTGCCCAAACCAATATTACATTTCAGAGTGTGACGTGTACAGTTCAGCATTTGGTCCTTAAAAGCAGTTAATTTATCTTATTAACAAATGTATAGTTATTGTACATTGTGGAAAAACTGATAAAACTAGTTACAAAAATGATCTTAGACAATTCTCGAGTCGCATAAGTTATTCTATTTTTAAATAACAGCTGTATATTGAGATGTGGTGGAAATGACATGGCGGAAAAAATGTAAAATATTAACAATTTCTTTTGTAATCTATGTTTGTTCTCTTACAGACCTTAAAACTAGACAAATTATTTAACCCTATGAGACTGTGTTACGTGACTTTTGAACAAGTTTTTTCTATTCAACTTCACAAGGCTAAAAGTGCCCCAGTTGAAGAAACGGCCAGTTGCTGAATCGCAGGTGTTTCATGTTTCACATTATGCTGCATTATGAAACAAGCAGATCCAGTGCAAGACTTGAGTGTTTGTAGACAAATAAAAGGCTCTTGTGTCAGCATTTTTAAGGTGTTCAGTTTAAATGCATAAACATATGATTGCTGTTTCCCCCTGTATTCAATAAGTGTATCCCTTAAAACTAATCTTTGATCACCAAAATTACATATTTAAAGTTTTTTTCCTTGAAAAAAAGTAATCTTGCCTTAAAATATCTTGAATGTAACTCGACAACCTTGCCTCATTTAGTATGCGAGGTTCTATGAATATGCAAATGAGCCCCGGCTCCACTCACTCACTCAGCTCAGAGATCCACTGGTTGACGATCACACGTTGATCTGATTGGTTACAAGGTCGTTTGTGACGTCAGAAACACCAGCGATTTCAAACCGTGTTTTTGAGACTGTCTTTGGTTCACTGCAGTTTTAAGCAGAAAATACTCAGCAATGCTGTCGACTTATGAACTTACACATGGTGTGTCTTAAAGCATATTAAAAACACCACATACACACATAAACAACATTAAAAGCTGGATGTTCACCACAGGGGGACTTTAACACAAATATCTATTTACTGTTTTGTTACAGAAACAAATGCATTAAAATATTAATAGGTAATTATATAGAGTTCTCTAAACTTAAAAATGCTGCAAATGGCATCAATTTCAAACTAAATCATTCAGATCCTGACGACACTGATAGGCTGTTTAGCAACATGTAAATAAAACAATTATGAAACAAAATAAAAACAAATGCAAAAAGGTATTGATCAACACCGAAATTAGATTATGATTTCGATTATATAAATATATATTATATAAAGATACAACATGAAAAATGACTCCAACATCAATGTGACTTTTTGCCTCAACTTTTTTTCCCGTTTTATTAAAAATGTGCATCAATAAGTGTCTGATACGAGTGTACAAAGCATAAAAACACCTCAAGAGCAAGTCCCATAATTATATGACACAGTTTCAGAGTACAGAAAAAAAAAACCAGACTAAAATCTAAAAACAAACTCCAGATATGATACACACACAAAGAACAAAAACATATTTGCATATTTGGTTGCAGTTGCTTCAAAGACATGTGACTGTCAGTCCAATGCAGAGGCAGACCGAGAACACAGGAGCTGATCTCAATACAGTTCAACACAACATGCACTTGCTCCGCTATATTTGGCAATGTAAACAAAATAAGCAAAGGATGATCAAGAAATACAACAGAAAGCAATGAGTTCAGTAGTTTTGACATGCATGTATGCACAACAGTCTGACTCTGATATCATGTGAATTACGGCACACAGCGTGTCTCTAGTTCCACATCTCAGCAGAAACAGGACTAGCATATGAAGAGTCTCGTCCCGTGACGCAGATAAACCGTGTTTTGGCTTCACATTCACACATTAAAGTTTGCTTGTAAAAATCTCTGGCTGAAATACATCAGTCACAATAACAGACGTGCAACCGCAAAACATTAAAACTGATATAGTTTGTGATGTGTTTTAACTGAAAGCAAGTCCCCCGTTAATCAATTGTATCCCTTAAAATTCATCTTTGATCATTAAAATGACATTTAAACATTTTCCTTGTAAAAAATGTCTTCATGCCTTAAACTATTTTGAATGTAACTCGACACCCTCACCTCATTTAGTATGCGAGGTTCTATGAATATGCAAATGAGCCCCGCCTCCACTCACTCCCTCAGCTCAGAGATCCACTGGTTGACGATCACACGTTGATCTGATTGGTTACAAGGTCGTTTGTGACGTCAGAAACACCAGCGATTTCAAACCGTGTTTTTGAGACTGTCTTTGGTTCACTGCAGTTTTAAGCAGAAAATACTCAGCAATGCTGTCGACTTATGAACTTACACATGGTCTGTCTTAAAGCAGATTAAAAACACCACATAGACACATAAACAACATTAAAAGCTGGATTTACACCACAGGGGGACTTTAAGACCTCAAGATACACACCAGTAATGTTTTTTTTTTTCTCTAAGGCACATTTATAAGATCTACTTAAATGTCCTGATTGAACTAAGGCCTAATCCTGACTTAATCTAAACCCTGTCTGTGAAACCAGGCCATAGAGTTTAACTCTTTCCCCGCCATTGACAGGATTTTCCGGCCATAGACATTTCCACTGTTATACAGTAGGGGGCGCAATTACGCATCATCTGAAAGAGTACTGAATCTCCAGATTAAAACACAGCTGAAGAAGAAGCAGAAACAAGCGATAGAAGCATTGCTGACGCACATCGTAAACTTTGACAAAAACTTGGTTTTCTCAGCTTTTTGTTCAAAATGTTGCTTTTTTTAATGAAACCCACATTGAAGTGTTGATAAAAAAAGAAAGCATGGAGCTAGAATAAAATGTTGAGCCTCTGTTCTTTCTTTGGATAGTTTGCATGTTCAGATATTCATACAACAAAATATTCTTGGGGGCCGTGAACATTTTGTGAAAATGATCAAAAATGCCGGTGGGGAAAGAGTTAACAGTTTCATCTCTTGGACATAAAAGAGCTTCTTTGAAAACTAAATGTTCAATATAAAAGCATTCAGAGTAAAAACCCACGTCTCGACGACTGAACCCAACGGTTTATGACACTTTTCTTTATATTCATCCTGGAGGATCGTCTGACGATGAACCTGCTGCTGTTCCCAGATGCCAGATTTGGCTTGACATTAGCAGCAGGGTCGAGTCTTTGGCTGTTCGTGATCTTGGCTTTAGCTCTCACACACTCACTGATAGCTAATGACTGAGGGATGATGGGACTCTCACTCTTCTTCGTGGCTCTGACTGACATCTGCTCCGAGGCTCTGGATGGCCTTCCACAGTCTCTCGTTCTCCTTCTGCTGATCGCTGAACTGAAACCAGAGACAGAACCGCGTTAGAGCTGCTCTCCACGCACTGCATGATGGGAAACGGCTTGCTGACGACACAGCTCAACGCTCATTGGTTTAAAGTAAACCACCGTGATCAATCGTTCTCTTCTAAAATGTTTGATTTTGTAACTCTGATATCATGTTTTAATGTGTATAAATTATGTAGTTTTCCCAAACTCTCTGACAGTGTGATTTTACCATTTACTATTTAAAGTACCCCTATTATACGCTGTTTTAAAGGCTCCTAATTTTCTTTTAAATGTCTCCTACAACAGGTTAAATGCATCAAAGGTCAAAAACACTTTCATTTTCTGATAATATCCACTGCAGCTTCAGCTCTTTCCTCTCAGTGTCTGAAACGCTTCAATCGAGGATTCAGTCTCTCTAAGCCCCGCCTCTCTGAGAGCTGCTCTGCTCTGATTGGTCAGAAACGCTCATTATCATATCTGAATCTCAGCTCTTGATTACAGAGATACGAACAGTAACGATGGCGTGGGTTTTACCGTATCAATCTCATCAAAGTGGATTTGCTTTGTCAGCAGAAAACAGCGTCTTCTCGACACGAACAACACGAACCGAACTCTTCCAGTCTCAGATACACTACAGTGTTTGAGGGCGGAGCTAAGAGACGCTGTTCAGCCAATCAGGGCCAGAGGCTGGCATTATGCAAACTAGTTACAAACCTACGCATGTTCATCAGGAAGCGAGACTGGAATTACTGACGACTCGTTTCAGTTCAGAATCCCTTCTTTCTTTTGAGAGACAAAAACTCAATTTATCTGCAGTTTTACATTCACAAACAGCTCCATTACACACTACATGAAAGGTCATATCCCAAAAAGCATAATAAGGGGACTTTAAATTCCATGCAGTTTATTAGAATCGCAGCGGCTGAGCGTGAATCACGTGATATCCTCCTTCGATCTCGTGCCGTCAGTGTCTGAACCGCTCTGAGAAGAGAGAACGTCTCGGTTACGCATGTAACCCTCGTTCCCTGAAGGAGGGAACAGAGACGTCACGTAGATTACCGGCGAAAAGGAGTCTCGCTAGAGAGGCCAATCTACTTCGAGTGTAACTAAAACGAGGCAATGCTCATTGACCTGCGATAATTGCATCAGCTGCGCTGCATTGCGGCACATGCATATAATGAGTAGCAGGTGCATCGCATCTTCAGGTTTTCACTGAGGAGCCGAGCCGGTGATCAGGCGGCCCCAGCGGGAAACTTACGTAACCGAAACGTTCCCTTTCAGTCGGTCACTCTCGACGCCCTGTTGATGACCGACGAATAGAAAATCACCCAACCAAAGCGCCACAGCTGCTGACCCCATCCATCGCCCTGTGTAAATCTCCTACTCTCTCTTACCTGATGGGACAGGGCTTACACAGAGAAGTCCATCACTCCTGTTCCGACTCAGTGAGACAATTGTATAACACTGGGGAAGCGTGCCCTTTCCATTGGAAAAGGAACGCTGCGGAAGCCACATCCCTCCCTGACGGAGTCGTGGAGATAACACATAACCTCGTGGGGTTGTTTACATATGGAAGACTGGGGTGACACCAATCTCCTAAGAGATGGGATCTTCCCAAAGGGTAATAAGTTTCTGTATTGTAGTGTGTTATATTTATGGTGTCTAAATTATTGTTGTTGTGTTATGTTCTCAACAGGTTTTTCACTCTGGAGACATGAGCGCAACTGTAGGCGTAGCAAGCCAAGAAGAGACGGGCCTCTCTGTGCTTCTACCCGTTTGAGGTGAGAACACAGGAGGAAACCGGCTCTAGACGTAGGCTACTGAACCTAGCGAACGCGTTGGGAGTCGCCCAGCCCACAGCTCTACAAATATCTGTTAGCAAGGCGTCACGTGCCAACGCGCAGGAGGATTCAACACTTCTTGTTGAGTGAGCTCGCAGCCTGAGCGGGGCAGCGCTTGCGGGTACACCACCTGATCCCTGAAGGGAGTGGTAGGAACCTTGGGCACATAGCCAGGCCGGGGTCTCAGGACAACATGGCCGTCACCCGGCCCGAACTCTAGACACGATTCATCGATTGAAAATGTCAGCATGTCCATACCCTCTTGATGGAGGCCAATGCAAACAGTCTGTGCGCGGGTGCCATAGGGTGCCCCGTCTCTGAGAAAGAAGGTCCTTCCTCAGAGGAATGTGCCAGGGAGGGGCTGTCGCGAGCAGCAGGAGTTCCGGGAACCAGGTCCGGTTGGGCCAAGACCTGCTCCTGTTGCTCCCTTACTTGCACGGGGTCTGTGGCTCACTGGGAGAAACACATTTGCGAAGGCCCCGGGGCCATCTGTGTGCCAGTGCATCCCTCGGTCAGGGAGAAACAAACTGTCCTCGAGGGACACGGTGGTGGGTTCCACACGAGCCCGACCCTCTCAGCGGCCCGGGAAAGCACAGCCATCATCTACGGATCTGAATCAGGCAATGCTACGGTTCCCGAAGGAGGCAGCAGAGCCGACTCGTCATCTGCGAAGAGGTCTGGATCACCCTCCGTGCAGCGATCGACATCTGATCGTCGGGAGAAGCCCCAACACCTTGAGGCGGTCCAGTGCGTTCTCCTGGCGGCTTAACTGGCTGCGGAGCGCACGAGGAGTGAGGGTTCCTAGGTTCCCCGAAGGAAGCGCGCTGACTGTTATCCTCAAATCTTTTTATAAAGAAATCTTCCCGCAATGGGTGCGTCCACGAACGCTGCCTCAGCATGTTTGAAGCCCAGACACGTGATACAGCGATCGTGACCATCCCTCGCGACAGGTAACGACGGCATCCAGAAACACAGGTTGAATGTCATCTTTAAAAAGACCCAAGCTCAACCTATGTAAGCTCTTTTAGAGAAAACTCTTACACAGTGCTGAAGCACATAGGGGAACGGCCGCAGCAACACACACAGGGATAGTGCAGGCTATCGTGTGCTTTCCTCTCTGTAACAGCTGTAAACACAGCTTTTTCTCGCTCTCCCACAGTGCACCGACCAACTGTGAAAAGTTGGATGTACGAAAAAGAAAAACAAACAGAGGAATCCGGCCCCACTGCAACACTGCCTCGCCAACACTGAAGAAAGAACAGTCTTCTCCAAAGAGCTGCTCGTTGAAGAAAGTTTTAAACACGCTTAGTAGACCTGGCAGGCTCATGAACCGCTCGGCTCCGAAGTGAAAACCTGAAGAGGTGATGCTCCTGCTGCTCATATGCGCGTGCCGCGATGCAGGCGCAGCTGATGCAATCATCGCATGCCAATGTACATTGGCTCGTTTTAGTTTCACTCGAAGTAGATTGGCCTCGCTAGCGAGATTCCTATTGGTCGGTCACCAACGTGACGTCGAGAGTGAACGACTGGAAGGGAACTGCACTTATCTGACATTATCTCTCACAGCACTCGCTCTGAACTGACCTGCTTCTGTAACATCTGGATTTGAGCTTCCTGCCGGTTCACGGTTTCTCTGAGCTGAAAAACACAACATGACTTCATTATACTCAATATTCAAATCAGCCAAACATTCTTTTTAAAATGACAATATTACTGGACATCCATGTTTTGTTAAAAAGCAACGACACATGAGGATTTTCCAGCTGGCTTCAAACCCGCCGACTGGTTACGGAAGGCTTCCCCTTTAAGACTTAAACGCCCACTGTATTATATTTACCTTCTAAAATTAATATTAGAGCCATTCACTCTCTTTTTCTTACTATGCGATATGTAATATATAATATCTTATGGAACTCTGTATTAAAGGGAAAGTGATATGCTGGGAAAAATTGTGATTATTACCCCAGAGTTTTCATATTAGAAATAAGGTTTAAAAAAAACTTTAAACTTGAACACAGATTTTATCCAACAAATTACCATTAGCTAACTATGAGCCATATATGTATTGCAAAGCATTTGCTAATAAAAACACAACTGATCATTGTCATACTGCATTAACTAGTGTTAACAGATACAACTGCTGATTTGAAATATGTATTAGTATATGGTGAAATAAACATGAATTAATATTAATAAATGTTAGTTCATGTAAACTAATTGTAGTTAACCAATTATATCAAATGAAAGCATATTGTAAAGCGTTACTTAAAGTAACAACAGGTAACTTTTCAAGCTTCATAATTTATTTCCAAGTCTCTTGTGATGGTACATCGACTTACAATAGGTTGAATGACACGTCTGCCATAGCCTGATGGGGTCTGTAGCGTTTTTAATCGTACTTTTAAACTTCGGGTTTCGGGTAGTAACCGGCGAACAAAGAGAACTACAAAATTCGACTGCTTTACGGCATATACGTCACTTCCACCACCACCCCCACTTCCTTAAAATCGGACTTGCGAGCCAAATGTTATAGTCATGGCCGAAGCAGCACAGAAAAACAAGAAAGAAAAGGTTTTATCGGAGCAAAGCAAAAAGAGAAAGTGATCGAGTTAAAGGCAGAACGAGGATCAACATTGCAGAGCTGCCAACTCTCACGCATTGGCCGTGAGACACCCGCATTTGATTGGTTTCACACGCTCACACGTACGCCACACGTACGCTAAATTGTCAACCCGGTCGGTCAAATCCCTGAAAGATGAGTTTATCTATAGATCTACCTGTTGAGCCACTCGTGATCGACAAGTTATACCGCAAATTAGTTCAAATCTCCCGGAATCTAGAGCGAGCGCGCACGCGAGACAGAGACTGTGCTCCAACGCGCGCGGACGGCAGAGAGAGAAAGCGAGCGAGAGACCTTGCGTGTGCAGGGAGCATCGAACCCCCCATCGAAAAAAGAATGCCTCTCTCTAACCTCTCTAATTCGCTAGAGTAGTAGCGAATTATCAATCTGGTAGCTAGTAAACGATATTCTAGTTTTTGATGGTTAGCTATCGCTAGTATTCTCGTTCTGATTTGAACTTTGCAATCGATGAAATGCAAATAGCAAATGTTTGACCTAAAAAGTGTAGTCTACTCAACATGTACAAAGAAAGGAGGAAGATTATTAATAAAATCATATTTTAGGATACCTAACATGTCTGTGATATTTGTTTATTTGTCTTGCCTCAAGCTATAATGCAAATCGATTTGTAAAATTTGCAGATTCATTTATGGTAGCTTGATATTATAATATTGACGATATATGGTTATTATCAACCACTCAAACATTGCATTGAAGTATCATATAGATCCAGTAAAACGGTAACCAATAGACTAGGCTACTATAATGACGCTGGCTTGTAAACGTGAGCATCGCGATCATTTGTCGTTAGAAAATAAAATAAAACCCATGAAATTATATTCATATGACATGCTGAAATATATGCCACTGTACCTGGGATGAAGACATTTCACACGCGACGCAAGCAGAACACCTGCATGTGACCTCCTCCTACAGTGTTCAGGGCTATCCTGGTTGTCAACAATTGCACGTGCATGTAGGATGACAGAGTTTACGACAGTAGTAGAGGTCTAGAGGACAATACTGTTTCCCAACTGTAGGGGGACCCCGAGAGCAAAAAACTACCTGTTGTTACTTTAAACTACATTAAACTACAGTTTAGTTAAATATTTTTGACTATCATGAAACCACAGTGCATGTTTTTTGGATTTTTACTTCAGTTAGATGATGGTGTGACATAATCAGAAATATATCACTAAAAATACTCTCTAACGGTTAATTAATGGGCTTCACTGAATATTCCTTCTACTCAGATCCGTTTTCTATGGAAACACTATCAATGCCAAATTTAATCAGGTGGTACAAGTCAGAGCTCTCAGTAAATTCCCAATTTACAAGTTGTAATTGCGAGTTCTACAAGGACGTGAATGCTTTTTACAAGTCGTAATCTCGTGGTTACAGTAATGACGACATGGCATTAATGCTCCTTTAGTTATTTAAACATCTATATATTTTATTTAAAGTAACAGGTCATGCGTACGTGTGCCAGCTCGACGCTCGCTCCACAGCAGCTCTGATCGGATCGGCCCGTCTCTGCGCCGTTCATCCGCTCATCCACTCTGTGTGTGTAATCCACACATGCTGTCGGCTGCCGGACAAACACAACACAACGGCTTCAGACACACAAACAAACACCAGTCGACTGCTGATAGCCATTAAAGGATTAGTTCACTTCAGAATTAAAATGTCCTGATAGTTTACTCTCCCGCACGTCCTCCAAGATGTTCATGTGTTTCTTTCTTCAGTGGAAAAGAAATGAAGGTTTTTGAGGAAAACACTCCAGGATTTTCTCCATATAGTGACTTCAATGGGGTCCAACGGGTCGAAGGTCCAGATGTGAGTTTCAGTGCAGCTTCAAAGTCTCGACATTATCCAGCCGAGGAATAAGAGTCTGATCTAGACAAACCAGCGGACATTTATAACAAAATACACATTTATATACTTTTAACCACTAATGCTGGTCTTGCACTCGCTGTGATGCGACACACATTACGTGATCAGGGTGAAAGGTCAAGCGTGACGTAGGTGTAAGAACAGACCCAGTGTTTACAAAGAGAACACGCAACGACTGAGTCAAACGCCATTTACAAAAAATACAAATAAATAAATGGTAAAACAACGATGTCAGACGATTTTGAAATTGAGTTTTTCGCTCTATCCTACATTTCTGAACCGGAACACGCTTGACCTTTCAACCTGATTGCGTAATGTGTGTCACATCACAGCTCGTGCAAGACCAGCATTAGTGGTTAAAAGTATATAAATGTGTATTTTGTTATAAATGTCCGCTGGTTTGTCTAGATCAGACTCTTATTCCTCGGCTGGATCGTGTCGAGACTTTGAAGCTGCACTGAAACTCACATCTGGACCTTCGACCCGTTGGACCCCATTGAAGTCACTATATGGAGAAAATCCTGGAGTGTTTTCCTCAAAAACCTTCATTTCTTTTCCACTGAAGAAAGAAACACATGAACATCTTGGATGACGTGCGGGAGAGTAAATCATCAGGAAATCTTAATTCTGAAATGAACTACTCCTTTAATTCTTCCTGATTCGATCAGCAGAGCGTTCGGTACCATCAGGCTCTTGGCTTTGAGCTGGTCCAGCTCCTCGTACGGCAGTGTGTTGCTCTCGGTGTAGGAGGACGGCAGCGGCTCGGTGGAGTCTCGGGAATCGTTCGGCAAGGGGATGAACTCTGCGTCCAGCAGCTCCTGCACTCACAACCAAAGAAAAACACACTGCAAGGCTTAATGAAGGAAGACTTTACGACTAAGCAACGGAAATTGAAGGGTAACAAGATTGGTAGGAATTGTAATGCCAGCTAAGGCTGTTTTCATGGCAAACGCTGTGTGGCATGTTGAATTCATATCGTTATTCTGCTTCCCCAGTAAATGTATCTTGATTTAAAAGGCGACATTTCATGCAAATCAGACTTATCCTGTGTTTAAGTGTTATAATCGGGTCCCCGGTGCTTCTACCAACCCAGAAAATGTGAAAAGTGAAACGCAGTAACTTTGTTTTGGTGAGTCTTTCTCTGCAAGCATGTCAAAAAGTAAGCCGATCAGATTTCGCTCCTTCTGACCTATGAAGAGAATCTTATTATAATATTAGCGCCCCTTAATCTGCACGTTTACACACACCAGCCGACATTGGGTTCGGCGAGCGCCAACATAGACCAGTTCTAACGCACTGGAGAAGATCCAGCAAAGCCTGAAACTGTTCTGTGGTCGAGCACAGACGACACTGAACGCTATTGACCAGAACATGTCAGCGCTGTCTTATAAACACCTCAGGAACTGTGGACACTTGTGGAAGAGTTCAACATGATGAGGAGATGATCAGTGTAACTCCACAACAACTACAGAAATGTCTCGGCTAACATTCAGAAACGTGTAAAAGTGAAGCTGAGTCTCTCCGTAAGGCTGCACTCGCTGCTGTTACTCCTGACTCTGGATCAGTGAGATCGGCCTGTGTTGTTATTGCCGGAGTCTCTGAAGCTTGTGTAAAGGCTCCGCCCTCTTTTGAAAGGAGGCGGAGTTAAAGCTCATTTGCATTTAAAGAGACACAAAAAAACGGCACCTTTTTGCTCAGAACCAAAGAGGGGGAAATTTGACAAGCTATAATAAATGATCTGGTATTTTGAGCTTTAATTTCACACACACATTCTGGGGACAACATAGATTTATATTACATCTTGTGAAAAGGGGCATAATATGTCACCTTTAAGAGTGCTATTTGCACTGAATAAGACAAAAATGCAGTGCATGCAATATTTAATGCCATGACTTTATGAATTAAAGACGTTCTGCTGTAATTTCAGTCAGTTTGAGGGCCGTATTGTGTACGGGTGGATGCAGAGACCCAGTGAGGTCTTCACCTTGCGCAGCCACGAGGGGCAGGAGCTCTGGCCGGTCTGGCTGTCGATGGAGAAGACGGGCGTCTGCAGACCCCGCTCCCCCAGATCCGCCTCCGCGGTTCCTCCCAGCATCCCCTCGCGCAGCTCTGAGTCTGTGGCCGAGCCCGTCTCCAGATCCACCGAGGCGGTCGAGCACTGGCCTGCGGACAGACACACTCAACCGTTACACACACACGCGCTACACACGTCTTGATGAGTATCCGAGCAGACATAGTAGGTTAAGTCTTAAGTGAATGTCACATGTGTATCAGTGTGTTGGATCTGTGCATTATGTCTTAAAGTGATAGTAACCTAATATTCCTGCCGTCTGTGTTTTTATGTCATTCAAACAACAAAAGACAAGGAAATCACTCACAGCTCTGGATTGAATATCTTTTGTGACTCTAATAAGGATTAATCTGTAATTTAGTCAAATATGCAATGTTATTACTTTATTCAATTTCTGTAGCTGAAAACTAATGTTAGCCCTGCCTGATAAACCTGAAAAGCACTGTTTATTTTATTAGTATCTTTGCTCTGTTGTATTTATTTGTTCTGTTGCTTGCAGTTAGATTATTTGTTTTTATCTTCTTCATTTTTATATGACAGTAGTCCTTTTCTCCCTGAACACGGCACACACTGAACCGCACCGAAACCCTAAAACCGTGATACAAACCGGACCGTGAGCAATTTGAACCGTTACACCCCTACTACACACACGCCAAACACAAACACACATGCGCTGCACAAAAACTACATACACACGCTACACATACACACACTACACAGGCGCTACACACACACTGCACGCACACTAGACTTTTATTTCAGCTAGCCAAGGCACTACACAAGCTACATGTGCTACGCACACATGCTACACATGAGCTACACACACTACACTTATTTCAGCTAGCCAAGGCACTACACAAGCTGTACATGTGCTACACACACACGCTACACAAAAACGACATGCACGCTCCACACACATGCAGTACACACACACACACACACACACACACTACACTTATTTCGGCTAGCTGCCAGGGCAACATTTCTCATTTACATTTAGTTTAACTTGAAGAACTCAAATAACAAACTAAAACTGAAATAAAAATTTATTAAAACTATATATAAAAAAAAACAATAAAAATGACAAACAACTAAATTAATGAAACTGTCAAATGAAAGCAGAACAAATAAAATAAAGACAAATTCAGAATATTAATAAAAAACAGTTATTGATTAATAAATAACAGTATCTAAATGATACTAAAACAACAGTAGTTCTAACACATAAATGTTGGATCTTACCACTTCCGATGGACAGCCCGCTGCTGTTTGAGCGGATGGTTTTGGAGTTCAGGACTTTTTCTGTCAATAAACATGAACAGGAAGTTAAACTACAAACATTCACTTGAAGAGGTGATTCACAGATGGGCGTTTAATAGACGTTCCCTTCCGCCAGAAACCTCAATACCCACAATGCACTGGTTGCCGACAGGGTTTGAAATGATTTTTTTCACTCACCGGCCAATTTGGCTGCTACGTTTTTAAGTTACCGGCCATTCAGCACTTCTACTAGCCAAAAAATAAATTAAATTAAATGAACCAGATTAACTACGCCACAGCAAATTTGGATTTCATACATTAATTTCTTCAAACAACATCCAGCATCTCCTCTTCCTCTTTCATCCTCATCACCAAACATGTGTTCTCGGAGGACAGATCAACACAGGACAGAGAACATCAACACATGTCGGATGCTGGGAAATAACAATGTTTTTTCTGTTCACCAAATGCTTTTAATCTTCGCTGTTGCTTCAGTGTAAATGAACAAGCGTGCCGTTATCTGTTGTGTAGTGACGCGTGTGTGTTCCAGTGAGCCAGATATGAGCAGATTCTGTGCAACACACTGTATTTAATAAATCATGACTCACGAGTATTTGTGCTAAATCTGCACAGATTACACTTCATGAACTTCTCCAGCAAAGTGAGTAAATATAATAACACACCAAATTGGCTAAACTACAAAAAAATTCACTTTTCTTACTTAGTATTTTTGTCTTGTTTCCAGTCAAAAAAATATTTAAAAAATGTTAAATCAAGATGCATTTACTAGATGAGTAAAATGCCATAAGATTTGATGTCTTCTTTTCTGGGGAAATAAATACAAATTAAGTGAGTTTTTGCTTAAAACAAGTTAAATGATCAGCCAAAGTGGTGAGAAAATTGGCAGAAAATTTAGCTTGTCATATAATTTTGATTAATTCCCCCAGAAAACAAGCTTTAAAATCTTATGGCATTTTACTTATCTAGTAAATGCATCTGGATTTAATAATTTTTTGATATTTGGACTGGAAACAAGACAAAAATACTTAGTAAGAAAAGTGCATTTTTGCAGTGTAGTGATTTGACAGCGTTACCCGGCGGGTGTTAGTTTAACCCGGGTTGCCGCCCATCAGTCGATTCGAGTCTGATCTGTAGCTTTAACAAAAAAGCCTTCCACATCATCATCCGGCGGACTTTAGCTGATAAAGCGTGAACGGAGCAGTGTGTGAAGACGCACCCATGATGAGGATGGTGTGCCAGCCCCTGCAGGACAGATCCGGCACGTGGTGCAAGGAGCCGAAGATGGGCCGAGGCAGAGCCGGACACACCTCAGAGCCGAAGCCTTTATCCGGAGGCATCCCGAGCCGGCCGTTCCCCGCGTTCCCCCACGCGAAGATCTGGTTATCTGGGGGACACACACACACACACATCACGGTCTGACTGCGGATACACACAGCCAGTGTTGATGTGGTCGAGTCAAAATCGATTCTCAAAGGCCACAAAACTATTTTTTTCCATATTTATCGATCCATCAACCCATCCATCCATCCATCCGTCCATCCACCCATCCATCCATCCATCCATCCATCCATCCATCCATCCATCCATCCACCCATCCATCCATCCATCCATCTATCCACCCATCATCCATCCATCAACCCATCATCCATCCATCAACCCATCATCCATCCATCCATCCATCCATCCATCAACCCATCATCCATCCATCAACCCATCATCCATCCATCCATCCATCCACCCATCATCCATCCATCAACCCATCATCCATCCATCCATCCATCCACCCATCATCCATCCATCAACCCATCATCCATCCATCAACCCATCAACCATCCATCCACCCATCATCCATCCATCAACCCATCATCCATCCACTCCACCCATCCATCCATCCACCCATCATCCATCCATCAACCCATCATCCATCCATCCACCCATCATCCATCCATCCATCCATCCATCCATCCATCATCCATCCATCCATCATCCATCCATCCATCATCCATCCATCAACCCATCATCCATCCATCCACCCATCCATCCATCATCCATCCATCAACCCATCATCCATCCATCAACCCATCATCCATCCATCCACCCATCCATCCATCATCCATCCATCAACCCATCATCCATCCATCCACCCACCCATCATCCATCCATCCATCCATCCACCCATCCACCCATCATCCATCCATCCACCCACCCATCATCCATCCATGCATATATCCATCCATCCATCCATCCATCCACCCATCATTCATCCATCCATCTATCCTCCATCTATCCTCCATCTATCCATCCACCCATCATCCATCCATCCACCCATCATCCATCCATCTACCCATCCATCCATCCTCCATCCATCCATCCATCATCCATCCATCCATCCTCCATATATCCATCCATCTATCCATCCATCCATCCATCCATCCATCATCCATCCATCAACCCATCATCCATCCATCCACCCATCCATCCATCATCCATCCATCAACCCATCATCCATCCATCCACCCATCCATCCATCATCCATCCATCAACCCATCATCCATCCATCCACCCACCCATCATCCATCCATCCATCCACCCATCCACCCATCATCCATCCATCCACCCACCCATCATCCATCCATGCATATATCCATCCATCCATCCACCCATCATTCATCCATCCATCTATCCTCCATCTATCCTCCATCTATCCATCCACCCATCATCCATCCATCCACCCATCATCCATCCATCTACCCATCCATCCATCCTCCATCCATCCATCCATCATCCATCCATCCATCCTCCATATATCCATCCATCTATCCATCCATCCATCCATCCACCCATCATTCATCCATCCACCCATCATCCATCCATCTACCCATCCATCCATCCATCCATCCACCCATCATTCATCCAACCATCCATCCATCCACCCATCATCCATCCATCCTCCATCCATCCATCTACCCATCATTCATCCATCTATCCATCCACCCACCCATCATCCATCCATCCATCCACCCATCATCCATCCATCCATCCATCATTCATCCATCCATCTATCCATCCATCCATCAATCCACCCATCATCCATCCTCCATCTATCCATCCATCCATCTAACCATCATTCATCCATCCACCCATCATCCATCCATCCATCCATCCATCATCCATCCATCATCCATCCATCCATCCATCCATCCATCCATCCATCCATCCATCCATCCATCCATCCTCCATCCACCCATCCACCCATCATCCATCCTCCAATCATCCATCCATCCATCATCCAATCCACCCATCCCCCAAAAGCCAGTATTAGTTTTCCTCCACTGTTCATAGGCTTGCATGTAACAGCTAATGCTGTGAGATTTCATGTGTATTTTATCTTAAACATAAAATAACCTGATCGTGTTTCATCAAGGCATGCCACTGTTCAGACTTGTCCAATTTACAGCATAAATTTTTCATCTTGCATCAAAATCCTGTCTATTCATCGTATGCGTTTGAAATATAGTTTTCAATGTTTTAATGTACCCAAGTGTACCTAAAATAAAAAGAGTTTAATATACAGGGTTGTGTCTCTTAATTTGTAACACTTGTAAATTTATGTTTATGTTGTTTTTTCTTTTTTTTTCAATGTTCTTTTTTTAAAATCTAGGATTTGTATTAAATCTATATTCATTGAGTCGAATCGAGAATCGAAATCGAATTTAGAAATCGAATCGGATTGAGAGCTTGCGAATTGAAATCGAATCGAAATCAATACCCAGCAGTAACGAGTTACGTAAGAGTTATTAACGCATTACTTTTAAAATATACAACGAAATATCTGAATTACTTTTTCAAATAAGAAACGCAAGTTATTTATCCGCCGGTGTGGATACTGGCATTTGCAATCACAGATTACACTTTTGGAAGTATGACCAACATACGCAATTTACAACAAGTAACATCCACTTTTGTTCTGACCAGCTAATCGCTTGATTAAATCTAACGATCGCTTATCATATCAAGCAAGCAGAGAGTTTTGAACACTGGCTGGTAATGTACTTGCTCAAATTTATTTTGGATAATTTTTAACCCAAAAAAGTTACGGACTGCAGCTTTAAATAGACTGATTAATTTCTTTACATGGAAGGACACTATGTGTGTGAGCTAAGCTGAAGTGAGCCTGTCGCAGCGGTGCTCACCCTCAGTGGCGGCGATGGTGAAGCCGTCTCCACACGACACCTTGCACACCACCTTCCCCCCGAAGGGCCCCACCAGCACCTTCACACCCTGGTGCTTCTTGAAGTCCTTGACTCCCAGCTGCCCGTACTTATTACAGCCGAAGGTCACCAGGCGCCCGCGCTCTGCACAGGCAGCAACATGTACACGCACATTTAGTCATTTAGCAGACGCCTTTGTCCAAAGAGCCTTACAAATGAGGAATACAGCAGGCGAGTCGTCATGAAGAGGCAAAAACAACACAAGAAGTGCTCAAAATACTAAGTTCAGGCATTGCTTAGAGTAGCATAGGCCAGACAAGGGGGGATTAAAGGAAAATAAAATATATATTTTTTTTTTTAAACACCATTATTTGGATAACTGGGTTACGAGGCGGTGCACAGTAAGAGCAGTGTGTGTGTGTGTGTGTGTGAGACGCACAGTAAGAGCAGTGTGTGTGTGTGAGCAAGCGCACCGTCTATGGCGCCGGTGTGGGCCTTTCCTGGAGAGATGAAGATGATCTTGAAGCGCGAGAGCAGCCTGACCAGCGAGAGTGTGGTGGTGTACGGGATCCCCTGATAACTCTGCACACACACACATAGCTCACAATCACATCACTACATCTCAACACACTCATTCAAGTCGGGTTTTACATTCTCATTTCACCGGATTTTAACAGTTAAATCAAATGCAAATAAGCCCTAGTTACTTGCATTTGATTTAACTGTTAAAATCCAGATCCAAATCCACTAAAGATTTGTTTCTAGTCGAGTAGTATTCTAGTCATCCATTTAAGCCATTGGTCGACTAATCGCGCGTTTATATTAATAATCCATAAATCATAATTATGGGCCTTTAATTGCCTATATAAAATACGTATAGTCTAATCAGCGCTCATTTACCAAAGTCGGGTTTTACATTCTAATTTTTCTGTTAAATCAAATGCAAGGAACCAAAAAGCATGTCTAATTAATTGAAATTTAAAAACAATGTATTACCATTTTGGTAACACTTTGCTTGAAGCCCTTATGTATAATGCATTATGTACATTATAATGCTTTTCATAAATAATTGTAACCAAAATTAAAATGCATTATGATATTTGCAGATTCTGAAATTGGTTGTTTATCTTGTGTTTTAATGTATTATACACGTGTTCAGTGATTAGATAAGTGTTATAACTGTAGTATTCATGAGACTATATAATGCATTATAAGGTGTATTACAAGGCATAATTAATGCATTAAAAATACTTGTATAATACACTATACATAAAGGCTTTAAGTAAAGTGTTACCAAAATGTTTCGGGCCTCGTGAAATACGTTTGATTTTTACTCAAATTCTGTTTTATTCCAAAAACTGGGTTTTTCATTTTAATGGTTTAATTAGGATTTAATAAATCAAAAAGCATGTCGAATCAACTGAATTGATCAAATTTAACAACTTAATAATATATTACAACAGTAAAATTAGAAAAAAATTGCAATATAATTTTTTGGGGGGGATTTATGATTTTTCATTCACATATAAACTGATCAATGTTACATTAAACCTGCTCATAATATAAAGCGATCTTGGATTCATGTGGATTTATTTTACCATCTCTTTAAGAAGGGTTCAAACCGAGTTTTAATGGAGGGACAGAAAACTCTCAGATTTCATTGAAATATTTTAATTTGTGTTCAGAAGATGAAAAAGACTTGCGAGTTTGGAACGGCGATTTTTAATTTTTAGGTCAACTATCTGCTTTAATATTCACAGACTTGATTTGACTAAGTGTGCAGCTGTACTTTTGATTTACACTCACCTAAAGGATTATTAGAAAATCCTGTTCAATTTCTCATGAATGCAATTATCTAATCAACCAATCACATGGCAGTTGCTTCAATGCATTTAGGGGTGTGGTCCTGGTCAAGACAATCTCCTGAACTCCAAACTGAATGTCAGAATGGGAAAGAAAGGTGATTTAGGCAATTTTGAGCGTGGCATGGTTGTTGGTGCCAGACGGGCCGGTCTGAGTATTTCACAATCTGCTCAGTTACTGGGATTTTCACGCACAACCATTTCTAGGGTTTACAAAGAATGGTGTGAAAAGGGAAAAACATCCAGTATGCGGCAGTCCTGGTGTGCGAAAATGCCTTGTTGATGCTAGAGGTCAGAGGAGAATGGGCCGACTGATTCAAGCTGATAGAAGAGCAACTTTGACTGAAATAACCACTCGTTACAACCGAGGTATGCAGCAAAGCATTTGTGAAGCCACAACACGCACAACCTTGAGGCGGATGGGGTACAACAGCAGAAGACCCCACCGGGTACCACTCATCTCCACTACAAATAGGAAAAAGAGGCTACAATTTGCCAGAGCTCACCAAAATTGGACAGTTGAAGACTGGAAAAATGTTGCCTGGTCTGATGAGTCTCGATTTCTGTTGAGACATTCAGATGGTAGAGTCAGAATTTGGCGTAAACAGAATGAGAACATGGATCCATCATGCCTTGTTACCACTGTGCAGGCTGGTGGTGGTGGTGTAATGGTGTGGGGGATGTTTTCTTGGCACACTTTAGGCCCCTTAGTGCCAATTGGGCATCGTTTAAATGCCACGGCCTACCTGAGCATTGTTTCTGACCATGTCCATCCCTTTATGGCCACCATGTACCCATCCTCTGATGGCTACTTCCAGCAGGATAATGCACCATGTCACAAAGCTCGAATCATTTCAAATTGGTTTCTTGAACATGACAATGAGTTCACTGTACTAAAATGGCCCCCACAGTCACCAGATCTCAACCCAATAGAGCATCTTTGGGATGTGGTGGAACGGGAGCTTCGTGCCCTGGATGTGCATCCCACAAATCTCCATCAACTGCAAGATGCTATCCTATCAATATGGGCCAACATTTCTAAAGAATGCTTTCAGCACCTTGTTGAATCAATGCCACGTAGAATTAAGGCAGTTCTGAAGGCGAAAGGGGGTCAAACACAGTATTAGTATGGTGTTCCTAATAATCCTTTAGGTGAGTGTATACATCCAAAATAAAGATTTTATGACTTGATTCGGTGATTCAATCCGTGTTTTCCACCTCATGTGAATCATACTGATGTTTTCAGGTTGCTGCTGAATAATGACGGACATACTTCTCCCCAGTGGTTTTTGATCCCAGTGATGCCTAGATTCAGACCCAGTTTGTTGAGCTCGTTGTTCCCGCAGGCCAAAACCTTCCCAGAATCGGTGAGGAAGAAGGTGCCGTCGCTGCCGCAGAACACAGAGGTGATGATCCCGCCTTTAGGAACCTCCACCTACCATTAGTCAACACATTAGCCTAATAAAAACACAGCGCTTCACAGGGTTCGTACAGATACTGTGAAACAAAACTCTTTCAAGGACTTTTCAACTTTTTTTGGATTTCAAGGACTACAATCAGAGATTTCACTTATCAAACAATATCTTTATTATCTTTTAATTTCTAAAAAAGGTAAACTAATAAAGTGCAGCACATGCAATGACTGTGGCAACTTTACCATTGAAAGGATATTATGACAAAGATATTGCTTTCCTTATTCAAACAGGGCAATACAGTAAAACTGCACATTTTAGAGTGGCCTTTTATTGTGGACAGCCTAAGGCACACCTGTGCAATAATCCTGCTGTCTAATCAGCATCTTGATATGCCACACCTGTGAGGTGGATGGATTACCCCGGCAAAGGAGAAGTGCTCACTAACAGAGATTTAGACAGATTTGTGAACAATATTTGAATAAATATTGGCCTTTAATAGGCCAATATAGGCCAGATAAATAGGCCTTTTGTGTACATAGAAAAAGTCTTAGATCTTTGAGTTAAGCTCGTGAAAAAGGGGGGCAAAAACAAAAGTGTTGCGTTTATAATTTGCAGCGTTAATATTGCATGAAAATATTTTGTATCGTCAAAAAAATGTAAGACTAATTTCATATAAGTACCTTTTCATAAATATGATTGTTTTCAATGGTTTTCAAAGACTTACATTTCAAAAAGTCAAATTCAAGCACTTCAAGCACCTTGTACGAACCCTGTTAGTTAGTTCATGTCAGCTCAGGTTCATTAAATAATATTACCAGATACAACTTTTGATTTTAATAATGTATTAGTAAATGTTGAAGTGAACCTTAACTGAGATTTATAAATACTTTTGGTGTGTTTTCATTGTTAGATCATGTTAATGAAGGATTCTTGATTAGAGGGCAATGGTGAAACAGGAGTGAAGCTTCTCTCACTTGCATTGGAGAGGCGAAATCATCCTCGCAGTCCAAACCCAGTCGACCTGCGAAGGGAAAGGCCGTCAGTGTCACTCAACAGCAGTGATGTCACAGGAAGTCAGTGTGGTCATGTGATGAGCTCAACAGCAGTGCTGTCGCAGGAAGTCAGTGAGGTCATGTGACTCACTCAACAGCAGTAATGTCACAGAAAGTCAGTGTGGTCATGTGACGCCCTAAACAGCAGTATAATAATAATAACAATTCATTACATTTATATAGCGCTTTTCTAGGCACTCAAAGCGCTTCATATGGAAGGGGGAATCTCCTCAACCACCACCAATGTGCAGCATCCACTTGGATGATGCGACGGCAGCCATAGTGCGCCAGAACGCTCACCACACACCAGCTTACTGGTGGAGAGGAGACAGAGTGATGAAGCCAATCAGTGTATATATATATGGGGATGATTAGGAGTGCAGTGGAGTCAGTGTGGTCATGTGACGCCCTAAACAGCAGTGGAGTCAGTGTGGTCATGTGACGTGCTCAACCGCAGTGCTGTCGCAGGAAGTCAGTGAGGTCATGTGACTCACTCAACAGCAGTGATGTCACAGAAAGTCAGTGTGGTCATGTGACGCCCTAAACAGCAGTGGAGTCAGTGTGGTCATGTGACTCACTCAACAGCAGTGATGTCACGGGAAGTCAGTGTGGTCATGTGACGCCCTAAACAGCAGTGGAGTCAGTGTGGTCATGTGACGTACTTAACAGCAGTGCTGTCACAGAAGTCTGTGGTCATGTGACGCGCTCACCGTGCTCTCCGCAGCCCCAGGAGTAGATGTCCCTGCTCTGGGTCAGCGCCACCACGTGGTTGTCCCCGCAGGACACCTGTCTGACGGGCCGCTCTTGGAAGAACTGCAGCAGCACCGGCTCCAGCACCTCCATGCCGTGCTCGTTCTCCACGCCCAGGCAGCCGTAGTAGTCCGAGCCGAACATGTACATCTGATCCTCGTCTGTCAGGGGAACGTGAGAGCACACGCGTGTCATTACTGGACAAAGAACCCACGCAAATCACTCGCTCCTCCCAGTGTCTCTACAAACAATTCATTTCTATTTTGTATTTGATTTGATTATATTTAGGCACCTTTTGTAATCGTTGCCGTTCTTATTATTCTTCCCTTCCCTCCGCTCTGGAAGTCTACGGCAGCCAGAGCCGAACAGCCCTATACTCACACTACGCAAGCTGCGTAGGGCCCCACAAATTACTCAAGGCACCGCCTCCCCCTCAAAGCACCGCCTCCCCCTCAAGGCCCCGCCTCCCCCTCAAGGCACCGCCTCCCCCTCAAAGCACCGCCTCCCCATCAAGGCCCCGCCTCCCCCTCAAGGCCCCGCCTCCCCCTCAAGGCCCCGCCTCCCCATCAAGACCTCGCCTCCCCCTCAAGGCACCGCCTCCCCATCAAAGCACCGCCTCCCCCTCAAGGCACCGCCTCCCCCTCAAGGCACCGCCTCCCCCTCAAGGCCCCGCCTCCCCATCAAGGCCCCGCCTCCCCATCAAGGCCTCGCCTCCCCCTCAAGGCACCGCCTCCCCACCAAAGCACCGCCTCCCCCTCAAGGCCCCGCCTCCCCCTCAAGGCCCAGCCTCCCCCTCAAGGCCCAGCCTCCCCCTCAAGGCCCCGCCTCCCCATCAAGGCCTCGCCTCCCCATCAAGGCACCGCCTCCCCCTCAAGGCACCGCCTCCCCATCAAGGCACCGCCTCCCCCTCAAGGCCCCGCCTCCCCATCAAGGCTCCGCCTCCCCCTCAAGGCACCGCCTCCCCATCAAGGCACCGCCTCCCCCTCAAGGCACCGCCTCCCCATCAAGGCACCGCCTCCCCCTCAAGGCACCGCCTCCCCCTCAAGGCACCGCCTCCCCATCAAGGCACCGCCTCCCCCTCAAGGCACCGCCTCCCCATCAAGGCACCGCCTCCCCCTCAAGGCCCCGCCTCCCCATCAAGGCTCCGCCTCCCCCTCAAGGCACCGCCTCCCCCTCAAGGCACCGCCTCCCCCTCAAGGCTCCGCCTCCCCATCAAGGCCTCGCCTCCCCCTCAAGGCACCGCCTCCCCACCAAAGCACCGCCTCCCCCTCAAGGCCCCGCCTCCCCCTCAAGGCCCAGCCTCCCCCTCAAGGCCCCGCCTCCCCCTCAAGGCCCCGCCTCCCCATCAAGGCCCCGCCTCCCCATCAAGGCCTCGCCTCCCCCTCAAGGCACCGCCTCCCCACCAAAGCACCGCCTCCCCCTCAAGGCCCCGCCTCCCCCTCAAGGCCCAGCCTCCCCCTCAAGGCCCAGCCTCCCCCTCAAGGCCCCGCCTCCCCATCAAGGCCTCGCCTCCCCATCAAGGCACCGCCTCCCCCTCAAGGCACCGCCTCCCCATCAAGGCACCGCCTCCCCCTCAAGGCCCCGCCTCCCCATCAAGGCTCCGCCTCCCCCTCAAGGCACCGCCTCCCCATCAAGGCACCGCCTCCCCCTCAAGGCACCGCCTCCCCATCAAGGCACCGCCTCCCCCTCAAGGCACCGCCTCCCCCTCAAGGCACCGCCTCCCCATCAAGGCACCGCCTCCCCCTCAAGGCACCGCCTCCCCATCAAGGCACCGCCTCCCCCTCAAGGCCCCGCCTCCCCATCAAGGCTCCGCCTCCCCCTCAAGGCACCGCCTCCCCCTCAAGGCACCGCCTCCCCATCAAGGCACCGCCTCCCCCTCAAGGCACCGCCTCCCCCTCAAGGCACGCCTCACCCTCAAGGCACCGCCTCCCCCTCAAGGCCCCGCCTCCCCCTCAAGGCCCCACCTCCCCCTCAAGGCCCCACCTCCCCCTCAAGGCCCCGCCTCATTTATTTGAAATAGAAATCTTTTGCTACATTATAAATGTCTTTACTGTAACTTTTGATCAGTTTAATGCATCCTAGCTGAATAAATTGCTTAATTTCTTTCCGTGACCCAAAGCTTTGACAGCAACGGTCCTCTGAGACGTCGAGAGTGTGTGTTGCGCTCACCGGTGACGCAGGCGGTGAAGTCGGTCCCGCAGGACACCTGTCGGATGGCTTTCCCCTGCAGACGCTCCACGCGCCGGGGCTGGCGGTACGAGGCCTGGTCCCCGTGACCCAGCTGACCCACCATCTTCGCTCCTCCCTGAACGCTCTGCGCACACACACACACACACACACACACACACACGAGATCAGATCCAACACTCTTCGTTCCCAGCACTCAACAGGCCGTCAATCTGTTTCTTGGTTTTGCATTTCATTTTCAGATTTTTGTTTGTTTTCATTTCTACTTTATTCTGCTCTGCTTTTTATCTCCATTTTAATTAAATTGTTTTCTTTATTCTGAATGAATGGGATCGGGACTCAAACCAGTGTTATTTCAGTATCATTGAAATACTATTATAGTTTTTTTTGTTTTTTTTTCAATTGTTAATATGTCTATACAGTTTTTATGTTTAGTTATTTTAGTACATCAAGTTAAAATACATGAACTTGCTGGAAAAAATAAGACATTTTAATATACCGGTAATTTACATTTTATTTAAGTTAACGTTTATTGAATTTTTTAAAGAATTTTTTCATAGGTTTAGTTTACTACAAAACTACATGAAGTAGGAGTAGGCTAATGCTAGGTGTAGGAGTAGGAGTATAACTATAATACTATAATATATTTAGTTTCACTTGCTAATAAGCAGCTCAGTAAAAAAAAAAAAGTGCTTAACCCTTAAATGCATTTATGTTTCATCAATCATTATTTCATATTCAGGTCTTTAGCGACCCGGATCTATCCATATCCAACACGGATCATGAACTCTAACTGACGCAATAGTATAAACCTGCTGTTTTAATGAAGGCATGAATGCAATTACAACACCATATATAATGCTATGAGATAATGTTAGAAAAAAGTTAAAATAAAAAATGTTCAATAGAGAAATATGAAAACGAAGAGATGCTTTATTTTGAAACTAAAGCCGCCAGTAGGTGGCGTTCAGTCACAGTCCGGAGTGAGTCATGAAGTCATTCATTCATCAGTAATGAAGCAAGTGCTGTAATTATGAACAATTTATTGAATCTTGACTCTCACGATTTGCTGTGGCTTTCATTTGAATTATATTTCGCTGGAAAATAAAGCAAACAATACTGTTTAAATTGTATGTCACTTAATATTACCTTTTTGTTTGTAGAACTGTTGCATAAAATCAATGTCACAATTGTAATCGAGTGGATATTCGGCAAAAAATTGCATTCTTGCTAGTATAACGTATGATCAACATCACTCACACAGGATATGTTTCTGTATCTAAGAGAGCTTGGGTCTTAAATCTATGCAGTCCGTGTCTATATCTGTTCTTCATGCTAGTAAGTGCTTGTACAGGGGTATATTGTCGAGAACGGCAGAAATGTAGCGTGATTAGCTAAGGCATCATATCTACCACACATCACATGTGCGCTGCTAGTGTGGATGCACTGAGTTTTGACAGTAAAAGATGAGGTAATTCGATTGGATGTCATGGATTTACGGCATATTACTTTTAGAAATGCATGCTCGGGTTTATTGTTATGCTAAGGTGGGGATTTTTAAATGAACAGCAAAACTCAGCATATTGTCCGCGTACCCGTTTGTGACGTCAGAAACACCAGCGAATTCAAACCGTGTTTTTGAGACTGTCTTTGGTTCACTGCAGTTTTAAGCAGAAAATACTCAGCAATGCTGTCGACTTATGAACTTACACATGGTGTGTCTTAAACACCACATACACACATAAACAACATTAAAAGCTGGATCAGGGACTTACACTAACCGCTTCTTAATTTTAACCCTAGTCAGTTTGGGAAACTAATCAATACCACAGGTCCAGTTAATTATTTATTTGATAAGCAGGCATTATGATGAAATAAAGCTCACAGAAATGGACCAGGGTTATTATCAGGGCTGGCAAAAGCACTGGTGTAGTCATGCTTACGGCCCAAGTGTACAGCTCCTTCTCGACGGTCACCACTGCGAAGTGTGTTTCTCCGGCGCAGACGTGCTGAGCGCTGCTGCCGCCCTTAAACATGTCCAGCTTCTGCGGGGTGAACTTCCCCCCGCCCCAGAAATACACCTCTCGCGAGCGCGTCGTCACCACCGCCACCGACGTCTCCGTCGCCGCGCTCAGCCTGGGGACACACACTCACACACTCAGCACACGCTGCTATACAAGACACTTACCAATCAGGAGAGCCACAGCAGCAGTGGCACTGACAACACTGTGTGCAAGTGCTGTGAGCCTTCCCAGGTTAGAGAAACACATGACACACACAGCGAGACTGCAGAAGAGCAAAGACTTCTGGGAACGAGCCGTCACTTACTTGGGTTTCCTGATGGCGGAGTTAAGCGTCGCAACCCTGTCCTCCAGCTCTCTGAACACACACACACACACACACTCGTTCACAGACCAGCTCAGCTCAACACACCGTTACATTTCAAACAAATTAAAGTAAATAAATACTATATAATATAATTTTTAAAAAATAGAGTAAAATATAAAAATAAATATAAAAATGATAAATACAATATAAATAAAAAACATAAAATACAAAAGTAAAATAAATAAAATTTAAACTAAATGAATACTACAATAAATCAACAAATAAAAAATTGCAATAAATACAAATTTGTAATAAATTAAAATGTATTAAATTAATAAACAAAGTAAATTAATGAAATTAATAGAAATGTAATAATTTAAAGTAAATAAATGGAAAAAAGTGGAAAAAAGTGGAAAAAAATCACAATAAATAAATAAAATCACCTTTGGGAATAATAGGAATTAAATTAAAATTAAAATGAATAAATTAAATTAAAATTAATTAAAATAAATTCATAAAATGTATACAATAAATAAATAAAGCAAATTTATGAAATTAATATTTTTTCTATAAATAAATGATTTAAATACAATTTATATAATAAATAAAATAAAAATGTAAATAAATGTAAAATAAATAGACAAATAAATTAATAAATGGAAAAAAAAATCACAATAAATAAATAAATAAATAAAATCACCTTTGGGAATAATAGGAATTAAATTAAAATTAATAAATTAAATCAATTTAAATTCATAAAATGTATAAAATTAAAAAAAGTAAATTGATGAAATTAATATTTTTTTATAAATAAATAAATAATTTAAATACAATTCATATAATAAATAAAATAAAAATGTAAAAAATTTAAAATAAATAGACAAACAAAATAATAAATGAAAAAAAAAAAATCTTTTACTATGAAACCTTTGGGAATAAAAGTAATTACGTGAGAATCCTCAGAAGAGTGTGGGAATGCGAGGGTAAATGTGTGTAGGGTGGTTTGCGTGTGAAAGGTGCGCTGGATTGACTCACGCTCGGACTCGAGAGATCACGGGCCGCTCTAGAATCTGCTCCGCCGTCGGCCTCTTCTCAGGGTCCTTTAACATCCACACACACACACACACACGAGCGTCAGCATGACATCACCACAGGTATGATTGACAGGCACCGTGAGCGCCACACTTTCAGCTACCTGATCTAAACACTCGTACACCATCTTGATGAGGTCAGGCGTGTAAATGTCCGAGTTGATCTCCATGGTCCAGTTGCCCTGCACGATCTTTACACACAGGTTCAGGGCATTCTGGGAAACACATCATCAGACGCCGTTGAGTGGTTTCCAGGCTAATGGGCGAGTGTGAATGCATGTCTGGGCGATTACCGTGGCATCGAAGGTCCTGGTGAGGGTCAGCAGCTCGAACAACACACACCCCATGGCCCAGATGTCCGACTTAAAGTTGTACTTGACTCCCTGACACAGCTCAGGAGACATGTAGTACGGAGTCCCGACACACTAGTCAACACAACACATCATAAGGACAATAAACGCTTTATACTGGACCATTTATGTCCTCATTTAGTATTGCACTTTCTTTATTCTTGCATTGTCTATTCTAGTTTTTTATTGCTATTGTGCTATTGATTGAGGAAGCTGCTTAGACATACACTCTAGTTTCTAATGTTTTATTGGTTAATGTTTTTTTTTTAAGTATTAATTTTTCCTTCATGTATGGAATGACAAATAAAAAACCCTTGAACCTTGAAGAAGTATTTGTCATTGTTAACAAATGGAACATTATTGTAAAGTGTCACCCATAAAATATTTCAACGTTTTACCATTTTATTTTGATTGTTTCTATATTAAAATTTTGGATTTATTTTAATTTAGCATTTTATGACTTAATTAAAATTTAACCCTAATCGTTTATAATTTTAATTACACTGCAAAAAATAAAATCTAAGAAAGTTAAAAAATGAAAGTAAGAAAATATATCTCTTCTTTTTTTATGCCATGAAAGACAAAAAGTCTTATAAAATATATTGCACACTAGACTATAAATCTTAATTTAAGAAAATTGGTGTTCTTCAGTCTTGCCAAGTGAACTTTAGCTCATTTTGAGGTAGATTTGACCAGAAACAAGTGACGGGTATAAAGTGCACATTTATGAACACGCTGTTGTGCTGTTTTTAAGAATAACATCACCCCTAAAAATGATAATTTTAAGAATCTTAATTAAGAAAGGTCCAAAAAAAATTGTTACACTGCAAAAAATGTCCTTCTTGAAACAAGCAAGATGCACTTAAATGTAAAGTAAACTAAAATGATTAAGATGCTTTAAGAATTTTCATCTATTTCAGGTTATTGTGCATCTTAACATTTTTAAATAAGCTGAATTTAAGGTTAAATATTCTAGTTAATGCAATCTTCACTAAAATTACTTATTATTTAGTGCTTATAAAAAGTGAAAACTGCATATTTTAACCATGTTTGTCTAGTTTTAAGACCAAACAGTGTTTTTAGTGACTGGAATGAAGATGAAATATTCTATTTTTCACAATTTATTTATTATTCAATTCTTATAAAAAGTAAAAACTGCAGTTTTAAGCATTATTGTCTAGTTTTAAGATCCAATTATAGCATTTATTAGTGACTGGATATTTATGCTATTTTTAAGTCAGTTTTGCTTACCCCATTTTAGTTCACTAGACCTATATTAAAGTGCATCATGCTTGTTTGCAGTGTAGACAGTCTGGGAAACTAATCAACACCTCAGGTCCAGTTATGTATTTATTTGATAAGCAGCTTGACGGTCATTATGATGAAATTAAGCACACAGAACTGGACCAGGGTTATTATTATAGTTCACTAAAACTACAACTACAACAAAAACACCTGTTACATGAAATAAACTTTAACTGAAATAAAATAAAATAAAATAAATAAAAAATATTTCAGCTAGTTATCATCAAGGCAACATTTTTAATAATAGGCCTAAATGACAATTAATAAAAACAACATAAAATTGGAAAATATATAAAAATAAAGTACCTCAGTGATAGTACAATAAGGCATTGTCCTTCACACAGACATCATGATGTGAGTTATTAGAGTGCAGAGATGCTGTTCAGATCATAAACCAGCTGACCGGATCAATAACCACAATATAATAATAATAATATAATAACTGCGCAGACTCACGGTTTCAGCCATGGAGTACTGCGAGTCCAGCTTCTTGGCCAGCCCATAATCGCCCAGCTTGATCAGGTTGGTTTTAGTGAGGAAGATGTTCAGCGTTTTGATGTCCCTTCAAACACACACACACACACACACTATTCACTAAACCCTGCTGTAATCAATATAATCAACTGATTATGATACAAAGTAGGTCTTTGTGACTGCTTGAATTTTAGTTTTGATTTTGGCTTCAAACGAATATTAAACATGATAATCAATTGGAATTTTACATTCAATCTAAAAGTGACGCCTAATAAACCTGCAGTGTCGTTAATGTTAATTAAACGACAGAAGACAAACAGAAAAATCCCTCACTGTTCATGACTGAGCAGCTTTAAGAATAATTATAATCTTAACGCTTAAACGCCACTTCGGGTCTTTATCGACCCGGGACGTCATTCACTACCCTCAACCTCATTCGTTAGTTAAGATTAGACGTCAAGTATTCGTCGATCTAGTCATTATAAACAATATAACTAGAAATACAAAAGAAAGTCTGTTTAGTAATTTTGTTTTTGTTATAAGCGTATAGGGTCGCTAGTGCGGAAGAGGTTTAAGGCCAAGCAATGATCAAAAATAAAACCATCTCGAGATTAAAGTCATTACAATGTTGAGAATAAACTCATAAAATTGAGAATAAAGTCGTGTTTCGAGAAAAAACTCGTTAAATTTCGGGAAAAAAAAGGCTAAATAAAATGTTGAGAATAAACTCATTAAATTTACAACGACTTTATTCTTGAAATTGAATGAGTTTATTCTCAACATTTTATTTCGACTTACTTTCTCGAAATTTAGCGAGTTTAATCTTGCATTATAATGACTTTGATCTCGAGATGGCCCTAATCCTCTTCCGTATGCTAGTGACCCGAGGTATGTAATAATGTAAGTATATTTATTTCTTCACAACAATAATTGACTGAATAAGTGCTTTCAGCTTTACTCCTCGGACACACAATGATGACGTGACGTTTCACTCATAGTTACAGCAGGCAGAAAACAAGAATCATCGGCAATACTTGAAATGCCATACTTGAAAGGCAATACTCGAAGAAGCATTAGAACAACAGGAGAGAACATCAGTCTGTGAGTGTTTACTTTCTCATTTGATTTTAGCGCGGCTCTTCGTTACTGTGTTTACCCTGGTAAAAACGCGCGTGTGTTTGTTTGTGTCGTGACTGAGTTTCGCTGGCCAAATAGTTGGGCGTGGCCTGCTGTATTCATTAACAGGGTATTAGGTGTGTATAAAACTGGTTAGTGCACCGCGGCAGCGGTCGCGGCTGCCCTCGTGTGAAGCCCTCATCGTGTGAAGACCAAAGAGTGTAAAGACCAGCGACTCTACCTGTGCGACTCCACCGAGCAAGGACACCGACAAAGCACTTGAGTATTAAATTCTTCTTGTTTATTTATTGTTGTTTCCTTTCTCTTCTACACACTTTTCTTTGAATCTTCCTGTTTGTAAGCTCCTTTTCACTATGTGTTTTCAAATCTCTACTATTACTAACATACGTAAATCAAACGTCACACGTCAGAGGCGGTGCAATCCTAACAATCTCCGTACCCTTCCGGTGTCTTCTAATACTTTATTCTCTTTTCCTATTGGTCTCTGGAACTGCCAGTCCGCTGTTAACAAAGCTGATTTCATTACATCTTTTTCAAGTCATTCAGGTCTCAGTCTATTAGCCCTGACTGAGACCTGGATCAGACCAGAGGACACTGTCACACCTGCTGCCCTCTCCACTAACTTCACTTTCTCACACACCCCCCGTCTGACCGGAAGGGGTGGTGGTACTGGTCTGCTCATCTCAAATGACTGGAAATTTTATCCTTTACCACCTCTATTTGACAACAGCTCATTTGAATCACATTCAATTACCATCACTAGTCCTATAAAAATCCATTTTGTAGTTGTATATCGCCCCCCAGGTCAACTTGGCAGTTTTTTGGAGGAGCTTGATGTGCTACTCTCATCCTTCCCAGAAGATGGTACTCCTCTTGTAATTCTTGGAGACTTCAACATCCACCTAGAAAAACCTCAGGCTGCTGATTTCCACACCCTGCTTGCATCATTCGACCTCAAACGAGTATCTACTGTGGCTACTCACAAATCAGGTAACCAATTGGACCTCATCTACACGCGCTACTGCTCTACGGACAATACACTGGTCACTCCACTGCACACCTCAGATCACTTCCTCCTCACTCTCAACCTCAACCTGCCTCAGAACACAACACACACTCCTCCACAGGTCACCTTTCGACGAAACCTACGCTCACTTTCACCCTCTCACCTATCCTCTTTGGTCTCATCCACACTTCCTCCACCTGATCAGCTCTCAACACTTGATACTAACTGTGCAACTGATACTCTTTTCTCCACTTTAACATCCTGCTTGGACAACTTCTGTCCCCTTTCCTCCAGGCCAGCCTGCGCCACACCCTCTGCCCCCTGGTTAACTGATATTCTTCGCGAACATCGTACTAAACTCAGGGGTGCAGAGAGAAAGTGGCGCAAATCGAAAGATTCGACAGACCTGGGTCTTTATCAATCCCTTCTCTCTTCCTTCTCTGCTAATATCTCTACTGCTAAAATGGCTTACTATCACAACAAAATCTTCAATTCTTCTGACTCTCGCATGCTTTTCAAAACCTTCTCCTCTCTTCTTAACCCTCCTCCTCCTCCTCCTTCATCAACCCTAACAGCCGACGATTTTGCCACATTCTTCATAGAAAAAACAACCACCATCAGCGGCCAATTTACCAATCCACAAACTGACACACACATTTTACCAACAAACGCACACATTCTACCCTCCTTCTCTCTACTTTCAGAGGCGGAAGTCTCTAAACTCCTCCTTTCCAATCGCCCTACTACCTGTCCGCTTGATCCTATCCCCACTAATCTACTTCAAGCCATTTCTTCCTCAGTTGTACCCACACTCACGCACATCATAAACACCTCTCTTCACACTGGTACCTTTCCCACAGCTTTTAAGCAGGCTCGGGTAACCCCACTGCTTAAGAAACCCAATCTAAATCCAGCACATCTAACAAGTTACAGACCGGTACCTCTTCTTCCATTTGTCGCGAAAACACTTGAACGAGTTGTTTTCAACCAGATCTCCTCCTTTCTTACACAGAACAACCTCTTGGACGACAATCAGTCTGGTTTCAAAAGCGGACACTCAACTGAGACTGCCCTGCTCTCAGTAATTGAAGCTCTGAGACTGGCAAGAGCAGCTTCCAAATCCTCAGTCCTCATCCTGCTGGATCTGTCTGCTGCTTTTGACACAGTTAACCACCAGATCCTCCTGTCAATCCTAAAGATGAAGGGCATCTCGGGAACTGCACTCCAATGGTTCGAGTCTTACCTCTCAGGTAGGTCCTTTAGGGTGTCGTGGAGAGGTGTGGCGTCTAAGACCCAACATCTAGCTACTGGGGTGCCTCAGGGCTCAGTGCTTGGACCACTCCTCTTCTCCATCTACATGACATCACTAGGATCTGTGATTCAGAAACATGGCTTTTCCTATCATTGCTACGCTGATGACACGCAACTCTACCTCTCATTCCAGCCTGACGATCCGACGGTAGCTGCTCGTATCTCAGCCTGCCTGACAGACATCTCTGGCTGGATGAAGGACCACTACCTTCAACTAAACCTTACGAAGACAGAGCTACTTGTGGTCCCGGCCAACCCAACACTTCATCACAACTTCTCCATTCAGCTAGGCTCATCATCCATAACTCCATCAAGGTCAGCTAAGAACCTTGGGGTTGTAATTGATGATCAGTTGAAATTCACAGACCACATTGCTAGAACTGCCCGGTCCTGCAGATTTGCCTTGCACAACATTAGGAGGATCAGGCCCTTCCTTACAGAGCATGCCACACAACTCCTTGTCCAAGCACTTGTTTTATCCAGACTGGACTATTGTAATGCTCTCCTGGCTGGTCTTCCAGCTTGCTCTGTCAAACCTCTACAATTGATCCAGAATGCTGCAGCCAGAGTAGTCTTCAATGAGCCGAAGAGAGCACACGTCACTCCTCTCCTCACACAATTGCACTGGTTGCCAGTTGCCGCTCGCATTAAATTCAAGGCACTGACGTTTGCCTACAGAACAACCACTGGCACTGCTCCCTCTTACCTAAACTCATTACTTCAGACTTATGTGCCATCCAGAAACCTGCGCTCTGCTAGCGAATGTCGTCTTGTGGTACCATCTCAAAGAGGCACAAAATCTCTTTCTCGGACCTTTACCATGGCTGTTCCCTGTTGGTGGAATGAACTGCCTAACTCAACCAGAGCTTCTGAGTCAGTAGCCACTTTCAAGAAACTGCTGAAGACATATCTTTTTCGGCAGCACTTGATTCAGTAGAATTAACACTTTCTCTTCTCTTCTATTCTATAAAAAAAAAAAAAAAAAAACTGCACTAAAATTAAACTGAGAGGGGTTATAGCACTTACGTATTGTTGTCCTACTGTTAGTTTAACTGCTTCTATTGTTCTCATTTGTAAGTCGCTTTGGATAAAAGCGTCTGCTAAATGAATAAATGTAAATGTAAATGTAAATGACTCCGTGATTTACAGCATAGCAAGTATTTAATCGCAATCAGATATTAGTGTCACTGATGCTGGATCTGGAGAAGAAGCTGTCAGCGATCGAAATATTGATTTTGAAGACGTTAAAAGCGCTAGTTTTGAGAACATGGTTGTGATGGTGAATATGAGCAGATGCTGAATGTTCTGGGAAATGACAGTGATGATGGCCAAAATCATGTGTTATTAAAGATGAATTGCTGTGCACAGGCTGTATTGGCTATGACTAGACCACATAACCTTGTAACCGTGGCTCGTGTGTGTGTGTGTTTACCTGTGGAGGACACCAGCTTTATGAATGTGAGCCACAGCTGCGGTGATCTGATATAAGTACCACACCACCACCTGTGGACAACAGAAGCTCAGGTGTAAAGCAGCTCTGAGCTTAGTGTGTGTGAGTGTGTGTAACGCTGAACTCACAAGTTCAGTGTGTAAGTGTGTAACCGTAACTCACCTCCTCTTTGAACAGAGCTCCTTTCTGCTGGTTGATCTTGTCATAAAGGTTTCCACCTGCACACACACATTCAGACCGTGGTTTGAGTGAGTGAGTGAGTAAGTATTTAAGTGTGTGTGTGTGTGTGTGTGTGTGTGTGTGGTACCATTGCAGTACTCCATCTCGATCAGCAGTGTGTTCTTGTCCATGAAGTGGTTGAAGTAAGCGATGATGTTGTTGTGCTGAAGGATGGAGAGGATGCTGATCTCGTTCATCACGTCTCTGCGCTTCTTATCCGAGAGACAGTTCAGGTCGATCTCCTTCCACACCACCAGAGAGTTATCCTGCACAGAACCAGAGAGTTATCGTGCACAGAACCAGAGAGAGTTATCCTGCACAGAACCAGCCAAACCATCAGGCAGTGACGCCAGACTGAATGGCTCTGCTCTGGTCTTAAGCCTGTTTTATGCTTCTGCGTCGAATCGACGGCGTACCCCCGCAGACCTCTCTGCGTCGCCGCGAACCCCTCTCCAACCCCTCCGCCGTAGCTCGACGTGCACCTCCAAAAAATTGTAACTACGCGTCGAGGCGACGCAGACCACAAGGGCTGTGATTGGTCAGATACATCATTTCGGGAGTGAAGCTTTTCCAGTTTCCCCCTCCCGCTATACCGCCATTTTTAAAGTGACCACTGCACTGTTTGTTTAAACGATATCAAGTTGAGGAACATTTGATTCTTCTGGGATTTAACATTTGCAATAAAATCATTTGTTGTTCAACGTCGATTAGCTCCAGCTGCAACAACATTCTCTCTCTTCCGCTCGCCATTAGGCTCGTTTCCATTACAGTTTTGCGCAAAACTTTTGCGATTTTTTTTCTTTATGTCGATAAAAAACTATTGCAAAATGACGGCGTTTCCATTAACCGATGTTATGCGACTTAAACGTCTTTTTTTCCTCTCGCCATAAGCCATTCCAAAAATCATGGTAACGGACGTTGGTAGGTTTAACGTTATAGCCTATATCAACTTTTATTCAAGACACAGAGGTCCAGAGACAACACAGTACAGATATAAATGTAAAAACAATACAAAACAATTAAGAATGATGTGGATGAGGCATAATTTATAGAACATATACAGGCTTCGGGTCCAATGTTTCCAAAAGCAAGATGCTATACCTTGTGTCACTATAGCCACCGCAGACATTATTATTAATGGAAGGAGACGTGGTGTGTTATCCAAGCATTGATGGCAGGGAAAGACACGGAGTTCTCCCTCATTTCTGCTCCGAGGTCTTGATTGTGGCCTTTCTTTGAGGTTTAGAGTCCAGTATGCTATTCCTGTAATTGTTTCTTTTATGAATTTAATAAAGAACTCTGTCTCGTATTAATTCCAAACGGTCAGTGTAGCCTACTTTTGGGTCCATTCGTTTTCCCTTTTTTAACCCGTAATTGCAAAACGAAAAATGAACGGTTGTTGTATTTTTTTAAAACGGAAAGTTAAACACAAACTTTTTAATTTGAACTGTACACCAAATGCTGCAAAAAAAAAAAAAAAAAAAAAAAAAAAAAAAAAAAAATCGACGAAATTTAAGATAGCCTATTTGTTTATGATTTTTTGCTCCTTTATTAAACATTTAAAATATTCACAAATTAATATGGAAAACATGTAGATTTTACTGGTTTTCTAAGGCCAAATTAGAACCTGGAAATTATATTTTTCCCGCAGTGCTGAATGAAAGACCATAACCACAACCTACAGAAAGGTAATTTATAGGTTATAATAAATGTGTCTGAAAAAATAACGAGGCATTTTAATTGTTTATTAATAAACTATTGTTTTCTAAATCAATGTCGGCTAAAAACATCTCCATCTCCGGATGCACCTTTAGAGAGAAATGCACCTTTCATACGGATTACATAATCAGAAGGTATTAGCTTTCGATTCGAATTTGTTCGTTTTAAAGTGGACATTTCAAGCTTTAGCCTATAGGCTATATTTTGTTTCAGTTCTCGCGCTTCAGTTCACGGAGACCATGAAAGCGCGCCTGATTGTTTTGTTTTATTTTACAAAACCACAACGTTTTCTTGTTATTGTGAGTTTACGCAAATACAATTAGTTGCGAATAATGTAGGCTATTATTATTTTCTGTATGACCAGAAATGATAGAGTATTTTAAGTTGTTTCCACTGTTGATAGGGAAATGCAAGTGTTCGCGCCAGCGCGCTGTAAGGGGTATACAGTCAAAGACCCAGAACCAGATATGAAGAATGAAGACCCGGAGTCAGAATTATAAAAAATTAAAGAAAAGTTTTACTGAAGATAGTTTGCATTTTCATCAGCAGAAGTCAGCTTCAAGACTCACACAGGAGTTCGTAGGCCGCCCCGCTTACAGTTACAAAGATCACAGCAGTTATACCATTTCCAAGGTCTAAGCTACGTCATTGCTTACAGGTTGAATGATTCTCATTGGCTAAGAAACATTAAGAGCCTAAACAATTTAACACATGTGAGGAGATAGGGGTGCCTATCGCCATTAGTAAAGATAGTTGTCGTCCACTCATTAGATTTAGGTCTGTGGTGGCCTCGCAGGTTAGAGAAGGGCGCCGGGGTGTCTGGTCCGAACGTCCAGAACCTACATAGAATGTCATACGCACACACACACAAATAACAGACACTAGCAAATAACAGCTCCCATCAAGGCTGAAGAGAGTCTGAGCTCCTTATTATCAGTTAAGTATACCAAAACATAATGCTAAAACATTCACTCATTTAGGAGAAAAACAGATCACTGGCATTTACTCCCAAGGAAGGAAATACACTGGAAAGAATACATTTTAATACAACAATTAAAGTTTGATAGTAACGCTCAATATAGCTTGACCATATGTCCAGCGAAGAATCATATGTGCCCACGCTGCCTTTAGGACCCTCTAACCTTTCTACTGATCCCAGAGAAAGAGACAAACGGCCTTGTGGGTTACGTGGCCTTCGTGTCCTGCGTGTACTACGTGCAATCTCAAAGTAAGATTGGGATGCACCTAAAAGAAACTGGTTACTTGCATCCATGCATTTAAGAAAATATAATTTCACAGGCACAAGAATATAAAAATTATTATGTGATAATGAATATATTTGATTATTGATTTTTATAAAGGAAGTATATAACCATTCAAAATGATATATGATTATATATGTATTTGAAGAGGCAAGGGATTTTGACCAACCCTTCAGTCCCCCGTTTTAGACCAATGTGGGGTCCAATACCGCCACGTCTGGTCTAACCAGTGAGGTCACTACGGAAGGGAGGAGTGGTGACGCATGCTCCCCTGACGGGTCACACTTGTCTCTTCACCTCGTCACGGACATGCTGGATATTAAAAATTCCAGTCCCCATTAAGAGGCTCTCCCACCTTCCACTCACAACAGGACATCAATGTCATTCTTCCTCAGTTTATCAGTCAGGTTAAAATTTTTATAAAACACATAACTGATTACGAAACAAGTACATATTTTTTCTCTGGAAGCCAGGCTAAATAAGCAAGCACTATTGCTGTATTCCTAGCATGGGCTAGATCCACAGTCACTACTCAGATCCTAAATAAAGACATTGTCTATAATCATGAATACCAGAATATATGCACTAGTTTTTTATTTTTTTTATAAAATTATGATTTCCAAATCCTTTTATTATAAACAAAGTTGGATGGTTAATCCATTATTTTCACTACCCCTTTTATAGACCCTTTAGGTTTAAAACACAATGGTTGTCTAACTAAAAATAAACAACAAACAATAGAATATTAATAATTAAGGCCCATAATAATCGATGTAAACACTTTAAGTCTTTACTGAAATCATCCTTCAGTTTACGGTCACATAGCATGTACCATTTTAATTGTATAACATCTTATACCCTTTTTTGTTTGTTTCAAAAATAAAAAAATAAAATAAAACAAATTCACATCATCATTTCAGTCATTATTTTACCACTAAAATATAGGATCGTTCCCCATTTTGCTTAATAAAGCTTTTGTTCATTCCTTATCCTTATATCACTTGAATCCCTGTCAATCATACAATGTCTAACCCTAACCTTTTTCATACCATTTAAACTTAATTTGACTTCCATAAACCCTATCAGAAATTGTATTTTCATTACATACATTTTCTTCTACTATATTTCTTCCATCTTGCCCTACATGCCAGTTCCTTCTGCATCCGAGTCTCTCACCACTGTCAGCCTAGTGACACTTAAAGTTCCCTCGTTAGGGGAATCATGGTATTTTATTAATTCTTCAATACTCTTGTTTTCTTATCATTAACTTCAACTTTATTTTTCATTATAACTACTTCTCACAGTATTTGTCTCAGTTCCACTTATCTTTACAGTTTTACAGAAACCAAAATATTATGTTACTCAGATCCCAGCCAGCCATATAGCTGCTTTCTCTTTTTACCTTTATTAAATTGTAGTTTTCTTAGACATCTAATGTCATACATACATTTAATCGATTGAGAAATAAAACCTTTTCTTTTTAGAAGTTATATTCACTCCTTCTTTGTTCGCCCTCCGGCCTTTCAATAAAAATGAGGGAACTCACTCTGGATAATTTGGATAGTGACTTAGCCAATGTGTCACTTTGTCTCTCTGCCGTCAAGTCTATATGTATATATCTTTTTTTTTTTTTTTTTCCTACGTTTATCCTTATGATCCCACCTAGTTGTCTATTTAAATTTAGACCCTCAGTTGAATTTAGACAAGAGTTTTACCCCAGAATGGACGGCAATCTTCTTTACAATTCCAAATTATATAAAATACTAATCCAGAGAGTAATTCAGTTCAATATCATAAATGACAAAAGCATTCATAATTACCAATAGCAGACAGAGATGGAGAACCACTTCAATTAAAGCTCGTCCCATGTTCTGCATTGTCTTTTCATCAGATTGTCTTAGAATTATCAACCTTTTTTAAAGTTGGTCATTTCACTTAACCCATCTGTAATGATAAAACACTAATTCCAGAGGTTAATGACACAATATCCTCAAAATCAGGAAATAATAGTACCCCAAACTAATACATACAAGACATAAAGTGCTGTCACCATCATACGCACTCATACTAGACACACATATGTTAACTGTTCATTTTCAATATTAATTTTTCTTTATATTATTGCTAAAAGATTTAAATTTTAAATAAGATTTTAAACTTCCCATTTTCCGGTAGCTTCTACCTAATTTTACATGGTCTCCCAACCAGTTTCAAAGCATGTCTTGTTCATTGTTCATTAGAATTTAACAAGGTCAGCTGGGTTGTTTTGTTTCATTATCATTATT